TGGAGTTGTGTAGGGATTGTGGGGGGGGGGGGAGGGGTTGGAGGGGTTAGGGCTTCGAGGTTTAGGGCTTGAGTGGCTGCACCTTGGTGTTCCGGGGTTAAGGCTAAAGGTTTAGGTTTAATCTAGGTTTCAGGGTTTCCTGGGTTTTTGTGGCGAACAACATGATCTCTTAGTGACCCTATTAGCCCACCACACCCTTCGCAAGTAAGCTTCAATGCCCCCGCAAAAAAAAAAAAAATTCTCCATCTTGCCCTAAACAATAAAACCTGACTTCCGAAATCCGAAAACCATGTGGCCCCAGCTTCACTCTTTGGGACTGCCTGAATCATTTCCGGCAGCTCCACATTCGAGAAGATGTTGTACATGAGGCCCAAGGCCTGACTCTAGAGTTTAGGATTTAGGGTTTANNGGGTTTAGGGTTTCAGGATTAGGGCTTAGGGAAGAGGCTGTGGGCTTTAAGGGGTTGAAGTGAAGAGATGAAGGACCAGGGGTTTGGGCTTAAGAGATTAGGGGTAAGGCTTTAGGGTTTTAGGGTCAAGGGGTTTTGGGCTCTGCAAGATCCAACATCCCTCCCAACAATGTCCCGTAGAAGGATCCCATAAAGGACTCTTGGAAGGGATAACAGGGAAGGTATGTGGGTTCTGCAAGATGCGAAGAAAAAAGGCACTTTGAAGGAGTTTATGAGAATTACATAGCGGAGCATGTGTTCTCTCAAACTAGTAGGGAACCCCGAAAAGAGTCTCAAAAAGAGTACTGCACTTCGAAGAGGCGATTCATGTTCTGGGGTTCCATGTTTCTCTGGCAAAAAGATATGGAGGGCAAATCAAGAAAGTGCGAGCGGCCTCTGAGCCTTAAACCCTAGAACCTGAAGCCCCTATACTTTGGGAGAGGGTAGAGCTTGGGTAAACAGCTATCGGAGTTCCCAAGGTCTGCGGTACAACCTCTTAAACAACGGTACAGTAGTTGACTGCGGTTATGGTACGCCGTTGTAGAGAAACGTAGGATAGATAGAATTCACATGAGCTACAGTCAATATTCCCTGCATACTGTACTGGACATGGGTTCCTGATCACGGATTGTATAAACCACAAGAGGGTCACGTATGTCCTCTGTTAAGGGTCCCTAGTAAGGCTGTTATAGATATCAGCTCACATGAGCTGATGATAACTGGATCCCCAGGTCGGGAGTCTAGGGAGTTTAGCCCTGAACCCTACAAACCCGGAACCCCAAGCTCTGCAAACCCTAAACTCTAACCCTACACACTAGTTCCTGGGCCACAAACTGCCCTTATGGAAAACAATTTCACTTACATTTCCCCTTGCAGACCTACAGGAACCGTAGCCAATTTCCCCAAAGAACCTTTTCATCAACCTCCAAACCCTAAGCCCTTTAGGGGCTTAGGATGTAGGGTTTAGGCTTAAATCTTGAGCCTATTATGACTGTGTTTCTGCTGGCCTCCAGGCCCCACCGCAGACCCTGCTCATCATGGTCAATGTCGCCCAGCACCGCTGAGAGGTTCAGCAACGTAAGAGCCTTAGCTTCAGGGTTTGAGGGGTACCCTATAAACTGGAAGGTCTATGCATGAATTTCTGACTTGCCAGGGGCCAGCTTCTGGAAACCCGCAGATTCAGGACTAGACCTATCATATTTGGCGGGTGTAAAGGGGGAACGCGACTTTTGAGAGACATTAGGCCCTAAACCTTAAACCCTAAATCAGGGTTTAGGGTTTGGGGGATTCTCCTACTGCACACCCTTCGCACGACTACCCTGCGGTTCCCTGTGTTAGCCTTCTTTAGACCCCCCCAATTGCCCCAAAGCAGCCCACGTGAAGGTGAAGGGCTTAGGATTTCGGAGCTTTTGGGGGGAGATAGTAGGTCAACCCGTGAACTGCTTCAATCATACGAGCAAACGCGACGGAAACCAACTTCAGACATCCAGTAGCTGAGGTCCTTCGGGTTCAAGATTGTCCATTGGGCCCCAGACCCTAAAACCCTAAAACCAAACCTTAAGAATCTAAACCCTAAAAGCTCAAATCTTAAATCCCGAAGGCCCAGCTGCCGGGAGGCCTGATTCAACTCCCAGTGCCCCTCTGAAGCTGAACTAACCATACAGGGGCTAGATCCTGTGATGAAAGCCCCTGAAGCCCCAACCTTACAACGCAAAGCCCCCGAAGCCCACACCCGAAGTCATATATATATATATATACATAGTCTCCCCATAAATCCCTTCCAAAAACTTATCCTTACATATCCTTACATCCACTTACATAATCCCCTTGGCCCTAAAACCCTAGACCCTACTACACAATGCCCTTAACCCTTCAGGCCCAGGAAGCAATGAGCAGCGGGTGCTGCTGCACAGTGTCTCCGCCAGCAAGGCAAAGGCTTTTGGCCTTGGTCTACCGTCAACCCTAAGCCCTAAGCCCTAAACCCTAAATCTTCCTCATGAACCTACTTACGAAGTGCCCCTGACTCTCCAAATAAACCCTAAGCTTAACCCCAGTGTAGGGCTTAGGGTCCAGGGATTAGGGTGTAATAGGCCTTGGGTTTGTAGACGTTGTAGAGGGTTTCTGTCCTGAGTTTTGGGCGGAATTCTGGGCTTGGAGTTTACGGTTTGGGTTTGGGGCTGTAGGGATTACAGGACTTAGGATTAGGGGCTCGGCTGGGTCTAGGGAGTAAGGTGAAGGACTTAGGGTTTGGGGTGAAGTTGAGATTCGCTAGGTGCCGATTTCAGAGGTGATAGCGGTACATGGAGCCCTGCCTATTGGGGTTCAGGGCCCGAAGCAACTAGAATAACGAAGAAGCAAATGGCAAGGCGCATGGAACATGCAAGTGAAACTAGGTCTACTTAGGGGCGTGCAGGGGTCTAAATAGCTAGAATAGGGCTTTGGCGTACATCATTTTGTATAACCCCTAACACCTAAACTATACAGGGGTTGCTACGAATGTTGGCCAGTCAAGCTTCTTCAGCACACGCTACAAGCTGTGTCTTGCGGAGGTTCAGACAGCAAAGTCACTTGCCCAGCCCGGAACCCAAGGTATGTGTGTATGAACATACGGGTAGCTCCCGAAATTAGGGTCCCATTTTGGTGTCCCTAGATACATAGATAGTGCCCCTTATATAATCTAAAAGCAGAAGGGTGCCAACAATTTTCAAAGGTATGGGTTGTAAGTGGAGTCTATAGGTTCCCTTGGAAGGGCTCTAAAACAATCATTTTTAGAAACTCCCACTTGGTCAAAAGTCGATTTCCCAGTGCAGTCAGGGGTTTAGAGTTTAGGAGCTATCTAGTTGATTGTCTGCATCCCACAGGAAGATGCAGCAAGCCATGGGCGCAGGTACAGTAGCTTCGCGGATTGCATAGGGTTTCTAATTTAGGGTTCAGAGTCCCATAACCCATAGGACACGGCATTGACTGTCCTCGGCTTCAGTAACAAATCCGGAAGGCAGGCCAAGTGTACTCAGATACGAGCTAGAGTCTAAACTCCTAGTATCCTCCTTACTAACCCCTATAGTAGTCCTCTAGATATTGCCTTATAAACCCCCTTCTTAAGGAGTTTAGACTATAGCTCGCACATGGGAATCGGGAGTCCATAAGCCTTCAGGAGTCTCCCCTCTCGTCTCCTAAGAATTCCTAGATCCCTAAACCCGAAAAACCTGACCCCAAAAACTACTACAGCAGAAACTGTTGTGGCCAGCTTGCTTCGCCAAGAGCATCTATGGCCTGCCAGAATGGGAGTCCAAAAAACATCGCGATGGTCTTCGTGAACCCTAACCCCAAAACCTCAACCTTTTCAGGATTCAAGTCTTGGAACTTGGGTCGGGGCTTCAAGGTTTGGAACTTCAGGTTTAGGGGTCTAAGCAGTGGAGACGAACATTAAAGCCTGAGACCCTAAAACACGCATTTCAGTCATTGTCACACATGCAAGGGGCGGACAAGGGCTCAATGCGTGTAAGACGTAGGTCTTACAGAGCCGCGGAAACCTTGAAATCATAGAGCTACGCCCTAGTGTAAATTCATTGTCCACTCTTTTGTAGTAATGACCGATCGTGCTATTCTTACAATGATCCTTCTTATCATTATTACGAATGTTGGTACTACACAGGAATCCAGGAATGGATCCCTATAGTTATCCCCATATATTCCCAAATAATAAAGAAGGTTTCAGTTGTTGCGTCCATTCCATCTTTCCCTACTTAATAACACAAGCAAGAGAACACTAAACCCTAAACCCTAAACCCTAAACCCTAATAGACCCTGACAGGTGCCTTCTGGAAGAACTTCACCCTTCTGGCAGCACAGGCCAAGACGGAGAGCGCGATGATCCTCACAGCATTTTTGACGGCAGTTGAAACTACTATAATGGGGTTATATAGGGTTTAGGGTTTAAGTTACCCCATATTATCCCCCTAATAATGGAGAATTAAATGGAAAAGAAAATGGAAAATGAAATGAAAACTGGGGGAATATAGGGATTTAAGGAACTTAAATTAAATTACCATAATGGGTATATATAGCAAATAATAGGGTTTCCCCAATATAGTAACTTAATTTAAGTTCCTTAACAGCAACCCAGTTTTTTCATGGTTGAATGCGACTTGGGGATTCGAGGTGTAGGGTCGGCCTCAATGCTGACAGAGCGGTATCATCTAGTCCATATTGGGGATGATAGTATCCCCAGGAAAGCATGGGATTGTCACTTTGACACACTATGTCAGGTCTGATACCAATGCTGGGTTGCTGCTGGGAAACTCATCCTAAATTGAGATGCATGATATGATCCACTGTCTAAACTCCTAGTATCCCCCTTAATAACCCATATAGTAGTCCCCTATATAAGCCCCTATATAATCCCCCTTAAGGAGTTTAGACTATAGCTCATATGATCTATGTATTCGCATAATGATGAACCAGGGGATCCCCTCACAACGGTAACTTGTTTTTATAAGTAAACCCCTTAACCCTAAACCTAATCCCTAAAAGCTGAACCCAAGAGCAGCAAATCAAAAGCCTCTACGGACCGCGATCAGGAGATGAAAGGAAGCAGCCAGCAACGGAATGGAAAAGACGCTGGGGAGGGCTTAGGGCTTCGTGTCAATTATTCTGATGTTCCTTTCCAGTATTCGGCGAAAACTGAAGCCACGGCAATGCCTGGAAACCATCAGTCATGCAACAAAACAACAAGTGCCCATCAGCGACCGCACGAGCCTTGCAGATGTTCGGAATTTGGGATCCTACTGCAACACCCTTAAACCCCCTAAACCCTGCAACGGAGCTAACCACCAACTCCTCAACTAGGCGCGAAGCTCCGCAGGTCTCTACATGAAGCCCTTCAAAGGCAAAAACTCCGGAGGAAAAAACAACATGGGGATTTCCCAAAAGACAGGGAGCCCAACATACTCCCATCCATACCACAAGGCCTCCTGAAAAGAAGCCCCAATATTATGGTATATGAGAGTATACTATGGTATATTCTGGTATATCATAGTATATTATAGTATATTATAACCCTGAGAGCCCTGAACCATGGTAGGTCCTCATGAAATCGAAGTCTGCGTCCGGGTCCGTCTGGAGCCGCGGTTCGCTAGACTTCGTTGCTGGGATGCACTGCCTGTGATGGGTTGGGTCCTGCCCCCTCCCATCAACAATCTATAATACGGGTCATACTAAGGGCTATGTATAGCCCAAAGGGCCTATGTAGCTTTATGGTATATACTTGGGCCCCAAAGTAGCTATATGGGAACCCCTTGTTGGCCCTAAGCATATATCATATACCTAGATTTTGGTAAGTATATCATACATGTTATCCAACTGTGAGAGTGAGGGGGGGGGGCAGTACCCAAGTGATGAGTGCTTGCCTCAGATTCGGCTCCCGCTAGGGGTCTGACATAAAGGGGTTTCGTGGGATCCTTTAAACTAGGGTTGATTTGGGGGCCCTATAAAAATTGGATTTCTCTGGCTTTATAACATATACATGTATATATATATATAGGAATTTGGAATAAGAAAACACATAAAACATATGTTTAGATCAACCCCTGCAAAGGGGTCGTGGGGATGCATAGGTAGCATAGGAACCCTTTTTGATTGCTCGGTCTGAGCGCTACTGGCTCCCCCATCCAGACTTACTAGACCGGGTTGCTGTTGAGGAACATAAATCAACTTACTGTGGTAAGGACACCCTAGTATTTACCACAATATACCTTATGGCACCTTGATTAAAATTCTTTAAGAGCAGCCCAATAGAGATCGGTTTAGTCAATTCTGCACTACACAGGGCGGAGGGGCCTCACCCAAGGCAACGTCACATCAGGTTCAGCAGCTTTACTGGTTCTTTCAAGCGAATGAGGGAATATAATGGGGGGCGACCTCCAGGAACCCGAAACTCGAAAGTCATTAGTCCACAAAGCCCAAACCCCAAGCCCTAAACCCTAGGATGTACACTCCCCCAAACTAACATGGAAACCCATATAGCCCCCTTTTTAAGGACTGTAGTCTTTGTAGGGCCCTTTTTGGGTTTCCATGTTAGTTTCCGGGAGGGTAGAGATCTTTGCGGTCGATGGCCTGCCATGCTATGCGTCTGTATAGGATCTGCAGGGAAACACAGTATCAGCATCAAGTCAGTACCTGCACTTGACATCATGGGTCAAGGATCCAGGTGATACCAGGTGGAAACCCCATCAAACAGCTAGCGGTCTAGGGGCCATGGGAACAAAATGCTCTCAAAAAACAAGATGGGCCACAACACCCCGCCCTAACTCCAAAACCCCTAAATCCTGCTCCTTGAAACCCCAAATCACAACTCAAAGCCCTCCAAATCCGAAATCGTAAGCCTAAATCCCGAACCCCAAATCCTAAACCTTACATCCTACGCCCTAAGCCCTGAGGCTACTCCAAGCCCAGCTGCTCGCAGAGCTTCATAGCAATGCGTGCTTCGCGGGCGTCGAGGTAAGCAAGGGCCATCTTGCAATGAGTCAAGACGGCCTGACGTTCGAACAGAACCAAGGTTCGGTTTAGGGTTTCCTGAGCCCTATAAACCCTAAACTAGGGCGTAAACTTGAGACTTGAACATCAAGGTTTGCGGTCTCTGGGTTTAGGGCTACTACTCATTCAGACATTCTTGGCGCAGGTAGCCGTAGGGTGTTTTCGGGCCCCCCCCCCTTATGAGGGCGATATGGAGATCATCTGCCTCAACCCGGGAATCTCTCCACCCGATCCCATGAAATTCCTTGATCCCCACAAGCCAGCAGAGGTTAGGTACTGCCCCTACCCTGTAACAGTCTACTACAGGAGCCTAAATAAGTACCAATATCACTTTGAGGTCCATTTGACGTACCATATACTATAACTATTCCAGGAATATGGAGCCATAATATTGGTAATTATTTAGGCCCCTACAATATATCAAGTAAGGGTCATATTCAGGGCTATAAATGCTATAAACATGACCCAAGTGTTACAGAGTTGGGTCAGTACCCCAGGCATAGGGCTTAAGGTTGAGGGGCTTGGGGTCTAGGGATCTGAGTTTGCAGGTCTCGGGTTTAGGGGGTCCTTGCCATAAACTAAAGCCTCAGTAATTTAGAATAATTTCAATTCGCACTAGGCATAATGGAGAAGAGAATGGAAACTACCATAACGGGTTATGCAGGGTATATATTGGGATAATTTAGAATGATTATAAAATCCCCCTCAAGGGCATTTGGGTACTACTCTCTATATAAGTCACCATTTAGGCTGAGGTCGCTTCAAATTGCCCAGTAAAGTGTCCCATGCCAAGGACCCTGCAGCAAAGTCAGATCTAGAAACCTGAGTATCTAGGTAGTCACGTTAAAACACCAGTGGGCACCATAACAACCCTAAAGCCTAAACTCCCTGAACCCTAGGATAGTATCATTCGAGCCATAGTCTAAACTCCTAGTATCCCCCTTAATATCCCCTATAGTAGTTCCCTATATAATACTCTATAAAACCCCCCTTTAAGGAGTTTAGACTATGACTCATTTGGCAAATGGGTTGGTTTTTCCTTGGCTGTATGGTCCTTGAACCTTTTCCTTTTAAGTTTGCCTTTCGAGTTTAGGGCATTAGGCCTGTTGGTCTTGCGGCCAGAGATTGTGGAGGGTTTTTGGGCTTAGTAAGGTCAGACTTTAGGGTATAAGCTGTTCTTACGACAACTGTTTCTGCCAATCTAGACTCGAGTGGTCGTTGCCATGCGACCCGCAGGCGCATCACAAGGAGGAGTTGATTCATTTACACCTCTACAAAGCAGGACGAAAATGCTTCTACTCTTTGTAGCTGCGCAAAATGGAATGCCCCTGTATACCCTCAAACAGAAAGGATCAGAAAACACCAGTGATAAGGACCCCCCAAAGCCTTTTTTCTTTGGAAACCTGGTGTTTCCTTAGATAAGGGAGACCTAAGATACAAGAACCCAGACGAGAAGTACCTCCAGAAGAGGGCCCCCAATTGTTGAAAAGCCCTGTTGCAACTTCTATCCCAAGAACAGCAACGCTGTGAGGCTAAGTACTTCCCCACAGAAGACCACTAAAGCCCACGACATGTCCAGCCTCTCGATGCTTCTGCTTGAACTCGTCGTCGAAAGCTACAATGCCCATTTCGCAGTGTTTCAACCTAAGTTTTGCAGTGCTTGAACTCTGTGAAACTGTAAGTTGGGCCACTAACACTGACCTCAAGGATGGCATCAACTATATGGGTGGGTTCCCTAGATTAGAGTCCCGTTCTGGTACCGCTATCTATTAATCTATACCCAAGATGAGCCAAACATTTTGAGGATAACCCTGGAGCCCCAGTGTATTCCTCTAGTGCTACTATAAACCAGTGGGGTTTAGGGTTGAGGTTTTGGGTTCTGCTATTACTGGGTGGGGGGCCCAACCCAACCTTAAGCCTGCACAGTGAAGATGCGGTCTTGGAACTCCTTAAAAGCTGCAGATAAGTTAGGTGGACCCCCCACCCCGTAATAAGGGATTAAGGTGATTATGTTAGGGTCCTCTTATATTCCTATTATGCCGCTGTTACAAGGTGAGGGGTCCACCTAACATATGAGCTACAACACATATTTCTCAGATAAATAATGAACATGGGTTCCTAGAATATGGTAGGGACTATACAAAACTACCAAAGTGACCCCTATGTCCACTTTTCATGTTCCCTTGGTAAGCGTAATCTTGACAGTAGCTCATATAAGCCCCTTTCAGAAAAGAATGCAGTCCTCTTAGGCCAGTATAGCAAAAACAGTAAGAACATTAAAAAATCGTAGAAAAAACAAAGTCGTAGTAATAAGAATAATAATAACAGTAATCGTAATCATTGTAATACTAATCATGATAATAGTAATCACCCTAAGGGTCAAAGTACCTAATAATCATATACTTACCCAAAACCTGTACTATAATTACTATTACCCAAAACCCAAGTACCTAATTATTGGGTACATGGACCCTCTGGGTCATAGCTCTTAGTTGACGTAGGCAAGGACGCCGAGGAATATGGATTTCTCTCCCGGAAAAGACAACAAAACACCTGCAAGCAATTCCCAGACCCCTGGGCCGGGGCAGATCTAGACAGCAGAACCCCCTCAAGGATTCTATAGGGTTTACGGTTTGGGATTTAGGAATATAGGGTTTAGGGTTGAGGGCGAAGGGCTTAGGGTTTGGGATCTAGAAAGTAGATCCCCTTCAAAGGGTCCTAGACATTCCCCAATAGTAGTAATTGCAAGGTACCATGATGGGGGTTCTACTTCCTAGATCCTCCCAGGGGTCTGGGTTTCAATGTAAGGGCATGAACAATTAGATAGGGGTTTTGAGGCATAGTATGTACAACTAAATAGGACTCCTGCAAAGATAATATTGTCAGTTCTGCAGGCTTCTACGTTACATGTATTCAGCTCAACTAGAACGAAGGTGTTCCTTCATGGTCTTGAACTCCTGACTCTGACTGTAAGTGCTGAGGGATAGGAGTTTGGAAAGATGGTAGATGGTAGATGCAAGCCCCTGACCCAAACGACCTCTAGGGTTTCAGTATACCACAAGATCAAGACGATTTCCGAAAGTGGCCCCAAGCCCAAGACCCTAGATTTCATACGGCTTGTGGCGGAATTACAAGGCTGTGCTACGGGTGCCTTCTCAGAAATCCGTCATAGTTCCTTTGACGAAGCTCTAGATCTAATAGTTTCCAGAAACACGAGTGTGAAAAGATTGTTGCCTTTAAAGGGACCTAGGGTTTCATTTTCCATTTTCTTTTCCATTTGATTCTCCATTATAGGGGTAATATCCCTATATACCCCTTTAAAAGGGACCCCAAATTGGCCCCTACTTTGCACCAAACCCAAAGCCTTAACATACCCCCCGAGCCCCCATACCCTAAACCCTAAATCCTAGCTGCCACCAAGGCACTTCTCAATCTGGTGCGACATGCGGTCTGCCATAAGCGTCGGCCACTTCCGTTGGTAGATGTCCTGGCAGGATTTCCACAAGCAAAGGGGGACTTAAGGGGTTAGACGGGCTTATGTAGGGATATATAGTATAGGGCTTGGGGGATCGGGGAGGATGATTTGGGTCAGAAAACTCGACACATTTCTTTCTGCTACAACATATA